GGATCCTCTTGACTGGAGTTGCTGGTTGTAAGCCACTGTGCGGGTGCTGGGAATCAAACCCAGATCCTCTGGAAAAGCATTCAGTGTTCTTAACCACTGAGCTATCTCTCTAGTCCCTCAAAATTCACCTTTAATGTTGAAAAGAGTATATATTCCAGGTGATCCCACCCATTTGAGAAGCATGTAGAGGGATGAATATAGAAGTTACTTAGGCAGTGACAGTATTCTACCTGAAACATCTATGGTGGACACTACAGAACATACAATATCAAGATAATATCAGTGTAAACCACAAGCTTTCATTAGCTCTAATGCGTGCAGCTTCATTCACTCATTGCAGCAAACAGTGCTACATGGTGTCGCTAATAGGAGTCGTAAGGGTGGGGCTTCAGTGAAAATGCTATATGCTCTGTTCACTTTTTCTGTACACTTAAAACTAATGATACACACAAAAACTTGCATAAAAAGTAAAATCCATTAGTTAAGAGTGGGGAAAAACCATATCAAGGCACAAAATGCTACAGATAAATTTTAATTGTTAGGCAAAAGAGCCAGACAAGAAAAAGCTACACACGATCTCAGTCCAATTATACAACATTCTAAAAAGGCAAAACCATAGAGATGTTTGAAAATCAAGCCTCAGGGGCAGGTTGAACAGATGAAGCGTGGCACTGTGGTGGAGCTGTCTTGTGTGTTTCTGTAGGGAACACGTGACACTCACACTTGTGCAAACCCATGCAGCTTTACAGCAGCAGGAGGGAACGTTAACATATTCAAACTAAAAATCATTCAGGAAGTAGAAGGATTCCAATGTGGAAGGCAAAAAGGGACCAAGCAGTCCAACTGTGTTTCACAGGTGTGAGCAACTCCACGGCAGGACAGGAGAGATGCTCAGCCTTTCAGACATGGTGGAAAACAAAAACAAAAACAAAAAAACAACCTAAGCCCAATGGGATGTTCTGGAAGCACTGAGCTCTGAGTGAAAGGTCACCTATACAGCATGTGCCCTTGAGACTCAACAATCATGTGTATGTGCATGAAATGGGCATGCCAAAGAGCCAGGTTTCTCATCATGGAAGCAGGCCATGGACCAAGGCTGGAGTCATCAGTGTGGGCTCATGTGTAGCTTCAAAAGCATAGATGGTCATGTAAAGAAGTTATATATATGGATGTAACAAATGGATAGACTGGTTGGATGGATGGGTTGATGAATGGATAAAGTAGAGAGATACAGATATAAAAGAAAATAGATATATAATAGATTGATAAAGATGATAGAGAAATAATGATTGATTGACAGATAATAGAAGAACTGATTGAGTAGAATGCATAGATCAATAAGTGGGCAGATGGGAGGATTAGATAAATAAGAGAAAGGAAGTATAAATGATAAATAGATAATAGATGACAGATACAAATATACATCATTGATAGACAGGCAATGTGTGTATGTACAAATTCACACACACACACATATTTAAAAATCAAATGTCAACTCTTCAACTAATTTACCAATTTTAATTCAGTTTAATCCACCAGTGTATTCTGTTCCCCATGGCAGGATGAAGGAGCAGCTAAGTAGTTAGTGGAATAGTCAAGAAGGAAGGTCAGTTTCTACAACTTACATCATAGCCCTTAAAGCACAGCCTGGAATCCACAGTTCTGAAGCAAAAGTGGGTTGAAGAATGGAGCCTTTGAACCAGGACTTACTCAAACGACCTTGGCAAAGGTAGTCACTCTGAAGGCCCAAGAAAGGAAGAGACAGCTGTGTCTGTAGACAAACTTGGCTTCTACCTCAGTTTGTGGCTGGCTCTCCTCATCCCTGTGCAAAGCTCTTTCTGAGGGTATTTTGAGTCTCTGTCTCTGTCTCTCTCCTCACTGCTGTGACAAACACTTGAGTAAAGCAAAGTAAGGAAAGGGAGCATCTTTTGACTCACAATTTGAGGGTACAGCCCGTCATGGTAGCAGGAACACAAGGCAGTCTGTCACATTGCATCCACACTCAGGAAGCAGAGAGAGATGAACGCTGGTACTCAGTCTGGGATTCCAGCCCATGCTATGTTGCTGCCCACATGCAGGGTGGGCTTCTTCTCTCAATTAGCATACTAGAAACTCCCTCACAGACATGCCCAAAGGCTTGTTTCCATGGAGATTTTCAGTCTCATCTATTCATCTATTTGGCAATCAAGATTAATCATCACAATTACCTTCTGCAAATACATCGATGTATTATTGCCCAGCAATCGGGAACACTTTCTGAGATATGCTATTGTCAATGTGCAAACATCGTGGAATGAAGGCTACAAGGTCACCGGGTAGCAGCATCTCTTGATAGTCCTTTGGTCTGTTGTTGACTGACGCACTGTGTTCAGCTTGCATAAGTGATAATATATGATTAGGTGGATAGTGTTTCTTCTCTTTTCCCCACTAGATGTGTCTCCCACCCTCCACACTGTGGTGCTCATTCTTTGTCACTCTGGCCTCATGGCCACCATGCTTATCCCTCCATTCCTCTGACAAAGAATACATAGGGGGCTTCAGTCTTCCTGGTTCCCAAAACAAGGTGAGGTCAAGCCCTGCTTTCCTGTGTTTCTCACAAAACCTGACTTCCCTTAGGACTGATCTGCATGGGAGTAACTGCTGACCCACTGGGCCACCTGGCCCCTGGGCTACTGGGCATATGCTATGCTTTGACTCACCACTGGATTGCTCTCCAGAATGCCTCGATCCACATTCCCACTAGAAGAGCCCAAGATATATTGCACTACCACCCCCAACCATGCATCTCCCTGACAATGGTTATAGTAGCTACTTTGCTGTTGTCATAAAACACCATGATCAAGACAACTCTACAAGAGTTTATTTTGGTTTACAGTTCTAGAAGGTTATAGACTGCAATGGCAGGCAGGGGCAGTATGGCAGCAGGTGGCAGGTATGTTGGCTGGAACCTTGAACATGAAGCAGAGAACAGACTGGAAGCAGCATGAGTTTTAACCTCAAAGCCCATCCACAATGATGTACTTCACTTCCGGGACCAATGCCGAACCTCCCAGATCTCCCAACAGAGCAACCAACTGGAGACCAAGTGTTCAAATGCCCGAGTCTAGGGGCATTCTTGCCCATCTGATGGATTTGCAGGCACACTTCAGTGTCTTTGCTGGGAAGGCTGAGATCCTCCCCCCGCTCACACTTCTGACTTCCCCTTCAGTGGATCGTCTATTTGCTTCTAATGCCCCCTGCTTTTCCTCCCTGATTTTTGAGAGTCCACATGCATTCCGTAGACCCCTTTGGCCTCATCATGTAAGTCACAATTTGTGGCTTACCTAAGGTAATTTGGGATGGTGACAGTTGACCTCAAAAAGTTGACCTCCTTACCCTCCCTTCCATGCCCTTCTGCTTAGGACTGCCCCCATGCAGTCTCAGGAATGCAAGCACCACTAGTTGCTCCTGGAGTCCCCACTGTTTTCAGGCGGAGTGACAGCCCACTCCTCTCTATCTCTGGAACCTCTCTGAGATTCTCTTGGGAAGCTGTGGTCCCGTGCTAATTTGATATCTTACCTACAGGCAGAAGACAGCATGCTACATGCCAATTTTCCAAAGAAGAAAAATTTGGAGAAAACATTTAAATACTTTTTATGTGTGTGTGTTGAAAGTATATTAAAGTGTTTTCCAGGGAAAACATGTAATTATTGTGTTTGCCACATCTAGCAGCTGAAAGCTGCTCTTCCTGTTTTCTCCACGTCCTCATCATTTTCTTGGTTGGTGGCAGACCAAATTACCACTCAGCAGCCCTTGCATGACGCTTGTAACACTAAATAGAACACAGAGTCGCAGCAACAGCTCCATAGCATTTTGCCACAGGCTTGGAATGGGATTTGAATCTGAATGGAAGGGAGCTCAACCAGACCCATCTCCTGACCTGTGGCTCATTCCTTTGGGGAGGACATCTGCTACCCATAGCTCTACTCCATTAGGAGCCATGGAAGAAAGGGGCTAGCATCCATGTTTTATTTATATTATATATGCCTGTGTGTGTGAGTGCATACACACATGAATTTTCAGTGCCCATGGGAGCCAAAAGAGGGCAACAGATCCCTCGGAACCGAGTTACATGGTATTTGTGAGCCAGCTGATGTAGGACTGAGAAGCAAGTTTCTGCTCTCATGATTGAGCAGCAAGTGCTCTTAACTACTGAGCCCTCTCTCCAGGCCAGAATCTATGTTTTTAATGTCTCAATGATGCCAAGGGCAGCCCAGATGATTGAACCCCTGTTGCCTATTGCACAGCCCCACCCTACCCCCAATTATAGTGTTCTGCCTCCTGGCTCTGTTTGCAGAGCTTCTGGTTAGCAGGTGTGGAATACTGCCTGGTCACAAGGCACACAGACTGGTTGTTCATTCATGGGCTCTCATGCCTCTTTTAGAATGAATGCTCTTTCTTTAAGACAATGTTTTAAAGTTCTTTCCTGGGGAGTTAGATGGAGCTTTATTTTTTCTGCAGAGCTTAAAAAATATTTTCTTGCCTTCAGCTTCTCTCCCAAGCATCAGCTGGCACAAAACTCTCCCTGACACTGTCTTCTCTACACATATTGAAGATCTGTTGACACCACCAATAAGAAGTCGCTGTCAACTGATTAGCTGTTTTCAGACAATATATCTCTTTCTGTCGCTGTTGCTTTCTGCTGGTTCTCTTTGCCTCCTGTTTTTGGCAGGTTCACCCACACAATGCTTGAGTGTAAAGTTATTTATTTTTATCCTTTTTGAAAATTTCCATTCTTCTCTGAGCACTCATGCTTTTTCTCAATTCCAGAAGATCTTCACTCTGTTCTCTGAACAGCGCCTCTCTACCCATTAAGTGTGTGTTGGACTCTCCAGACGGCTCCTCCATACCTCAGCCTCCTTTCTCTATTTCTGACTCTAGGCTCTGTCTAGCCATTGGGCTTGTGTTAGAGTTCTTTATATTTAAGCTATGTTTTTTAAAATTTCATAATTTTTTTTTCACACAGGTATATATTCATTTGGGTAGTTCCCCCCCTTGTCAGTGTGTCCATAGGACACACTGTACTGACCTTGGTACTCTAAGACTCTGAGGAAGGATTTTACCCCTTTCCTGGTCCCCAAGGGAGGTTACAGGGTTGGTTCTGGACACAAGAGTAGCTAGTCCCACTTCAACAGAGCAGATGTGGAAGCATTTGGTGCTTAGCCCTGATGTTGAAAGAATGTGGAGGGGGACTAGACACACTCAGAAGCTGAAGGCTCCTAGGGTCCCCCTAGCTTTTCTTCCTGAACTGGGGGAATACGGGGAGCATACACGGGGATGGTCAGGGGCCCAGCTGCAGCAGAGCCAGCAAGCTGAGCAGGAGTCCAAGGCCCAGGAGTGGGACACTAGCACGAAGTCCGAGGCCAGCTGTGCTGATATTGCAGAAGGAATGCCGGCAGCAGTAGCTATTCACAGATGCCACACCTAAGTTGACATTGATGTTCTCACGAGGGCAGATCTCGGAACAGCCCTTATTCAGGGTGTAGCCAAGGTTGATATCCCCAAAGCCAGCAGTAGCAGATACTGTGACACAGTAATTGTCTGAGCTCGGGCATACAGTTGGCCACAGGCATTTCAAATTGCTCTTCTGGTCGGTGCAGGAGAAGCATACCAGGGAATGGGCTTGCTCCACACCCAGAAGGGCTGCCAGCAGTACAGGCAAGAAGACCCTCATGCTGGAAGAGGCAGGCATCTGCTGAGGGCTCACAAGCCAAAGAAGCCTGCTCCGGGCGAAGCGACCCCGAAGAGCTCCGGAAACCTCAGGTCCTGGAGATCGCCGGAGTCTGGAGATTCCCAGGCAGGCGGGGGCGGGCTAAAATTTCATAATTATATTGAATTTTCCATGCCACAGGAAGTTTGCACTGGAAGGGTGCTCTGCAGCAGTAGCTACTTGAGTGACACACACATAGAAGGGCATTTGTCTATGTGTACCTAGGTATGCATGTGTGTACATGCATGTGTGTACATGCATGTATGCATGTAGTCGCAGACATTAGAGATCAACAGGAACTATTGTCTTAGTTAGGTTACTATTGCTGCAATGAAACACCATGACCAAAATCAAGCTGGGGAGGAAAGGGTTTATTTGGCTTACTCTTCCATATCACAGTACATTACTGAAACAGGACAGAACAGAAATTCAAACAGGGCAGGAACTTGGAGGCAGGAGCTGATGCAGAGGCCATGGAAGGATGCTGCTTACTAGCTTGGTCCCCATGGCTCGCTCAGTGTGCTTTCTTACAGAATCCAGAACCACCAGCCCAGAGATGGCACCACCCACAATGGGCTGGGCCCTCCCCTATTGATCACTAGTTAAGAAAATGTCTTACATCTGGATCTTATGGAGGCATTTTCTCAATTGAGGTCCCCTATCAAGTAACTCTAGTTTGGGTCAAGTTGACATATGACTAGCCATCACAACTGTCCACTTCATTTTTTTAAAGACAAAGTCTCTCACTGAGACCTGGAGCTTGCTGAGTAGGCTGGACTGGCCAGCCAGGAAGTCCAGTCTCTGCTTCTCCAGAGCTGGGATTGCAACCATGAGCCTCCATGCCCAGTTTACATGGGTTCTGGGGCTCAAACTCAAGTCCCCATGAAAGCCCTTTACAGATTGAACTGTCTTCCCAAAGAGGTTTTTTTTTGTTCATTTTGTTTTGTTTTGAGCAAATTTATCCTACCACTTCTGGAGGTTTTTAGGCATGTGAGCTGTCCATGCAGACTTGACAGTGCCTGAACCTGGATTATGTTATAACTCAAGGCTTATTAGATTTGACCTTGAATGGGCCTCCTAATGACTGTAATCCCCTATGCAATACAGAAGAGCAATGGTAAATGTGTTTGATGATCCAAGGGTCTATGGTAACAGGGACTTGGTCCCAGGGTGGCTCTATTGGAAAATGGTAGAATCTTAGGGAAATGGAGCCTGAGAAGCTAGGTCACTGGGATGTGCGCTTGCAGGGTGTGGTTGTCTGAGAATGGGCTCATTATATTTGAATGTCTAGTCCTAGTTGGTGGACTCTCTCTCTCTCTCTCTCTCTCTCTCTCTCTCTCTCTCTCTCTCTCCCCTGCTGCCTGTTGGTCAGGATGTAGCATGTAGCTCTCAACTGCTGCTCCAGTGCCATGTCTGCCTGTGTGCTGCCACATGCCCTGCCATGATGATAATGGACTAACTCTGAAGCTGTAAAGCAGCCCCAATTAAATGCTTTCTTTTATAGGAGTTGCCATGGTCATGGTGTCTCTTCACAGCAATAGAACAGTGACTCAGACAGAGGGGATTGTGGGCCTCTGTTTGTCTCTCTGTCTTCCTGTGTGGCCATGTAAGCTTTTTGTGAAGACTTATTTGTAACATGCATTCTTCCCTCCAGCCTGGTCCCTGAGCCATATCAGTCCCAAATGAGCATACAGAACACTATATTAATTATGAAGCTGTTGGCCATTTGCTATGTTTTTTATGGTTAGCTCTGACTTAATTATTAACCCATAATTACTAATATATATTTTTATAAGGTCTTATCTTACCGAGGACGCAGTCTCATGCATCTTCTCTTCCTAGGATCACATGGTGACTCTCTACTCTTGACTACATTTCCCAGAATCCTCCTTGACTCCTAGTCCCACATATCTTGCTTCCCTAATGGCCAACAGTGCTTTATTTATCAACCAATAGGACAGCATATACACAGAAGGACTTCCCCCATCACTTATTGACACTGCCAATAAGGTCTATCAATTGTTTAGCTGTTTTCAGATAATATGTCTCTCTTCATAACCCTTAGCCTCCTGATCCTGCTGACACGCATGCACGCACGCACGCATGCACACGGCCTTCATCATTGTGGCCTCTTTCCCTAACTTCTGCTCTCTCCATTCCTCCCCTTATCAGGGAGAAAATCTGTGTCATGTTGTTGGGACTTTCTGCCAACAATGCTGTGAGCCAAGAAAATCTTTCCTTTTTATAAAGTTGGCTGCCCCAAAGTATTGTACTGTAGTAATACAAAGCTAGCTAATACAAGGTGAGGAAGATTTTTCAGAGGATTAAAATAATGAAAGAGTCATGAATAAGATTGTTTGTAAGCAAACAACAGATATTAATGATAGTTTTATGAGACGATTCAGTGATGTTGTCCCAATTGAGAAAATAAAAAGACCTTAGTTTATGGGGAAACAATATTAATTATAATTTTACGAGTATATATTCAAGTGATACTGCCATGAATAAGATGACTAAGAAGGGTTGGAGAAGTAGCTCAGCTGTTGGGAGCATTTGTTGCTCTTGAAGAGGATCAGAGTTTGATTCCAGTACCCACAGTGTGGCTCACAATCATCCATAACCCCAGTGTCCCTCCCCCACATTAAATAAATCCATGTGAACCGAAAAATTAATAAAACAAAATTAGAAAGAAGACTAAGAAGAGTTTGATTTCCAGTTGAATTCAAATGTCACCTCAAACTTAGTTGTCATCTCTTACGAGTGGCGGGAATGTGCTGAGGAAGGCAAGACTCAGGTTCACACCTGGTTCTGCCCACAGGCTATGGACACTCAATCACCCCCATTCCTCAGTGGCTTCATCTGGAGAGTGAGAATGCTGGCAATACTCATCTTCCTGGAGCTGCCGGCAGGTGGAGTGCCTGAGCCCAGGGGTAGGACTGAGAGCCATGCCTGGCACACGCAACCTGCAAACCAGAGTCACTGTGAGCTCTGAGAGGCCTCTGGCTTGCTTTCCTGACTAACCCACCTGTCCCTTCGCCAAAACTGTACTCATGCCTTAGGTCACTCTTCTTGACTTTGGAATAGGTGAAAGTCTCTTAGATGGGACACAAACTTCACACTGTGAGCTGTCACCAGGGGAGGACTTCCATGCCACAGCAAGAGAAGAACATGTGTGTTCAATTCTAAAGCACATGAAAATCCAGGGAGGATGGGGTGGAGGGCAGGAGCCAAACAAAACATAAAGTTCCATGGGCCGTGGTAACATGGGTAGGGACAGCCCCTATGACAACCCTAGCTGGTGACAGCAGCAGGAGGACTCCCAGGAGCTATCTGAGATCCTAGCTGCATAGCAGCAGCCAGAACTGAGAACCCTGGGTGCGAAGGCAGTCAGACTCTTACAGCAGTGAATGCCCCCCCACCTCCACCCAACTTTCCATGCCTTTCCACACCTTTGACTGCACGGCCCCCAGCAAGCAGATCTGCCATCATTCTGACAGTCAGGTGCCTTCTGCCTCATGGCTGCTGTGGCAGCAAGAGGACTAAAGCACTATCCTCGCTGATAGAACCCACTCAAGAACCCTGAAGGCATCACTTGAGAGCCCGGGGCCATGACTGGAGGGCTCTGGTCAGCCTAGAAAGCAGGCTCTAAAACTGAGCTCAGGCTCCACAGCAGGCTGCTGTGGCTCCGTGGCAATCAGAGCCAGAACTGATGGGAAAACTGCGTGTTGGGGGGGGGGTCCTCAATTTTCTCCTTTCACTTTCTCCACTCTGCTGCAACATTGAGGGAACGGGAAAGGCGACAGAACAGTAGACCTCTTGAGAACATATTCAGGTTAGGTTGGCTTTCTTAGCACATTCCTGATGGGTCACATTTCATGCCTCATTTGCATGTACACACATCTAACCAATCAAGATCACCAGGTTCTCTATAACAAGGGCACACAACATCTCCCCCAGTCCTGTACCATGTTGGAATCCAGCTGTCTCAGCTGACTGCTCCTAGGACTTCCTTTCCCAGAGTAGACCCACAAAACACAACCTCAGGCAGAACTCCTCTCCAGCTTTCACTGCCCTGCTCTTCCCAGGCGGGAAATGTGTTCTTGCCTTGAGGGCTCGTGAGATCAGCTGCTTTATCTGAAAGCAGGCAAACCCACTCACTCCCAGGAACTCAGGCCTTCAGGGTCTGCCAAAGAGGGGAAACCCGCCAGTCTCCCACTCTCATCGCTGTGTGCTTTCTGCAGACTTGCTCTGCACAGGAGGGCTCTAGGCCAGCATCCCGAGAGAGACCCTCCAGTTCCTCAGCTGGCTCCTTGAAGCCTAAATAGAGGCAGAGGCTAACACAAATAATACCAGTCTTTTGGAGGCTCAGAGTTTCTGCATTGTCGTTCAAGTTGTTATTTTCCTAGTTGAGTCATTACTCCTTTGCTGAAAGTAAAAAAATCTCTCTGCTTTGACTTTTTGTTTTGACAGGGTCTCGATATGTATCCCTAAGCTGGCGGCCTAGAACTCACTATAGAGAGCAAGCTGGTCTGGAACTCACAGCAATCCCCCTACTTCTGCCTTCAAAAGACTGGGATTAGAGGTGTGTGTCACCATACCTGGCTGGAAGTTCCCCTTGTTTTCCTGCTACTGTCAGCCCACTCCATTCTTGGAGGGAGAAAGCCACAGGAACCAGAATAGGAAAGCTGACTGCCACTATGGAGCACACAAGGACCCAGCTTCCAACTGACAGCCTCAGTAGCAAGGGCTGGAGTCGTGGAACAGCCAGATAGTTAACTACTGATTGCTAATAATGACTTTAATAATGATGATAATTAGCAAAGTATTTCAGGTAGGTGTTGGATTATAACACACAGTACAGAATGCATATCCACAAGTCAAAGCCAATGCAAGTGACTAAATGACTCTCCAGGGACAGCAGACTGATCTTGCAGACTCATCTTCCAACTTAGATAGAGACTGTGCTATCAGGAGAGTGACTTCCCCAAGTTACAGTATAGAAAGAGAAGAGTTTCTTGGGCAGGGAGAAGCTTGGCAAACTCTACCTCAGGCAGGTGATGTCAGCATCCACACAAAAGCGCAGCCTGGTCCCAGTCTACGTGAAAGGCACCAAGTAAATTCCATTCCAGGATAGCATCCCTAAGCCTGGCCACACTCCTCATGGTCAAGGTCACCATACAAGGGCAGTCTGAGAAACTGCCGTAGGAAGTGGGAGCCTCCACTAGCTGCCATGGGGGTGTGGATGGGCAGACTGTGGGGTAGAAAAGTATCAGTGGGTAAAAACAGTAAAGCTGCAAAGATGGGGGCTTCAGCTCACTGCCTAGCAACACAGGACCAACCCCCCAACTCCAGGACTCCACTGAGACTAGAAGCAACTGCAAAAGCATGGAATTACTGACCAAAGAGCAGTGACTATAGCATCAGCCTTTGCAGAAGGCACAGAGAACCCTCAGAAGCTGCTGCATAGACACAAGGAAGGCTAAAAAAAAAAAAAAAAAAAAAAAAAAAAAAAGGATCAGGGCTGTGGTGAATCACCTATTATTTCAACACTGCCTCAAGTTCCTCACCTACCTGGATTACATAGCATGAAACAAACTCAAAAGGAAAAGAGAGGCACGAGGGGAAGGGAGGGAGAGAAGGGGGAAGGAAAAGGGAGGGAGGGAAGGAAAAGCAGAGCAATGGTGTCTTAGGGTTTCTGCTGCTGTGGTAAACACTGCAATTAAAAGCAACCGGGGGAGGAAAGCATTTATTTGTCTTACACTTCCAGGTCATATCCATCATCAAAAGAAGTCAAGACAGGAACTGGAGGCAGGAACCAAAGCAGAGACCATAAGGGTGCACGGCTACTGGCTTGAGTCCCATGGCTTGCTCAGTATACTTTTTTTTTTTAAATAAAACTCAGGGTTACCTGCCCAGGGATGGTACTACCCACAGCGGTCTGGACCCTCCTACATCAATCATTAACCAAGAAAATGCATCACAGACTTGCCTACAGGCCGGCCTGATGGAGGCACGTTCTCAACTGAGGCTCTTTTTCGGGCGATTGAGTCCAGCTTGTGGAATCAAGTTGACAAAAAAAAAAAACCAAAACAAACAAAAACCCTAACCAACACAGGAGAGAAGAAGGAGGGGGAGAGGAAGAAAGGAGAGAGAGAGAGACAGAGACAGAGACAGAGAACCCATGCTTAGTCTCCAGTACTGCAAATGAGAAAAGAGATAAAGGAAAAGAGGGATTGGGGATATAGAAGAGCTGGTTAGTTGGTTACAGTGCTTCTTTAGCACGCCAGAGGCCCTGGATAGCCAGCACTGCATAAATAGGTGTCTTACTGTTCTATTGCTATGAAGAGACACCGTGTCCAAGGCAACTCTTATGAAAGAAAGTATTTAATTGGGGCTGGCTTACAGTTTCAGAGTTAGTTCATCATCATCGCAGCAGACAGACATGGTGCTGTAGAGTAGTTGAGATCTACAACCTGATCTCCAGACAGAAGAGAGAGAGAGAGAGAGAGAATGAGAGTGGGCCCAACATGGGCTTTTGAAACCTCAAAGCCCACCGCCCCCACTTACATACGTCTTCCAACAAGGCCACACTTCCTGCTCCTTCTAATCCTGCCAAAGAGTTCCACTCATTGGTGGCTAAGCATCCAAATATATGAGCCTATGGGAGCCATTCTATTCAAACCACCACACCTGGCATGGCGATGCACACCTGTAATTCCAGCAGGGGGAGGCGGGAGCAGGGGACCAGAGGTTTAAGTGTGTCTTCCACTACATACTGAAGGGCAGTATGGGCTCCGTGAGATCCTGGGGATGGGGCTGAGGGAGACAAAGAAGCAGCCCAGCTGAAAGTGTGAGAGCCCATTTTTCAAAATCCCCATAGTGATGAAAAGCAGCTGAGCCATTGCGCGAGCCTGAAGGCTGGAAGGGCTGCCGAGGGCTGGAGCAGCTGTCTGAAGAGATGGAGGAGATCCGGTCTCACAGATGGCGGTTACCTGCATGTGCTTACCAAATCCATTGAACTGTGTGCTTAAAACAGGCACATTTTATATTGAGAACATTGATTTGTTTTCGTTTTTCTTTTTTGGTTTTTTAAAACAGGATTTCTGTGTGTAGCTTTGGAGCCTGTCCTGGAACTCACTCTATAGACCAGGCTGGCCTTGAACTCACAGAAATCCATCTGCCACTGCCTCCCAAGTACTGGAATTAAAGGCATGTGCTACTACCACTCGACAGAAAACATTGTTTTAAAAAGTCGGCAACAAAACAGCAGAAGAATAAAAGTCTAGCTGGAGGTTGGCATTGTGGTGTACATGTGTAATCGTGGCTACCAAGGCCGAGGTGGGGGATGTCTGACCAGTCCCCATCTCAACACGTTCAAGCAGGTTCAAGTGTTGAACACATAGCTCAATGGGACAGCTCTTCCAATCAGTTTCTGGTCCCCGGTACCATTAAAATAAAGTAAAGGCTAATTGAACTGCGTGCTTAAGCACTCACCTGGAAGCACTTCTGATGCAGGTCTGGCTCCTGTCCTGCTCCTTGCACTCGGTTCCTTCACCCAGAGCCTTTGCTTTACCTCTTACAGTTCTGTCGATGCTGAGGACTAGTCGGAGCTCCTGTGCCGGGCAGCCCTATCGTTTGTCCTTTCCACAGTCCAGACAACACGATGGGTCTCAGCTGGCTTCCAACTCCGTCTCAGTTCCAGAGGCTGTTCACAACCCACGAGGCAAAGTCCAGATGGCATTACCACATTTCAGCTTCTTGCCCCAGCAGGTGGGGACCCAACCCACAACCCCATCGTAGAACAGTCGCCCCTTCCTTCCACTGTCTTTTAAAAAGTTATTTACCTGCCACGTGATTGTGCTTAACTAGGTTGGCATTTGAGTGCTACATGGGGTGGGGGAGATCAGAGGACAGTGTTTTGGGAGTCGTTCTCTCTTTCCACTATGTGGAACCTGGGGTTGAACTCAGGACATCAGACTTGGCAGTAGACAACTTTATCCACTAAGCCATCTTGCTGGTCCCCTCCTACTGCCCGGATCCTGTCTGCCTCCAACCTGTAGGCCATTCTCCTTCCTGCCGAAGGGCAGTCTGCACATCACCAGCCTTGGCCAGTTATGCTTCCCTCATTTGTCACCACCTACCTACTGGCCTTCCAAACTTCCAGGCCCCACTCAGAGGGTCAGCAGCTCCCAGAGTGAACTCAGCCCTAGAGTGCAACCAGGAGGTGGCTTTGACATGTCTCAATCTGTAGACTCCCCTCTCAGTGTCCCACACTGTCCCACAGCCCTAAGACCCTGGAACAGGACAAGATGCTCAGTTTCCCTGGCCCACCCCTCAGCCTGGCACCAGTCCCCTATCTTAGAGCCAGTTTCCTCCAGGCCCTGGCATGAGTCGGGATCGTTTTGCTCTCTCCCCTCCCCTACTTTCCCTGCTTTAGCCTGGCACACCTGGCAAACCCTTCTCCTTTCAGCCTACACATCCCTCCTTGGACCACTCCCAGCTGATTGGGTCCACCCTGTCACCCCTAGTACCATTTACTTAACTTATGTAAGTTTAAGAGAATGATTTGATTAACCCACCTACCCGGGCATTTACCCCTATGATTGACTTCATCTGGAAGAGCCTTTTTGACAGGCTAAAGAAGGGCCCAATCAGAACCAAGCCTACCCCCACCCAGCAGGCCTTGCTTGCTCCTCGTACCCTATAAGAGCAGGTATTTTTCAAGCAGAAGGCCTGAGACCTCTGAAGACAGAGGTAACCTTGACCTCAGCCTCTGAAACTTCTAGCTAACGATGCCTTTTCCAGAAGGGTCCCCAAGACTTCCAGGCAATTCCATCCAAGAAATAGCTTCTCAGACTCCAGTGCCAGCTCAAGGATCTCGCAGCAGGAGGCCAGGTGTGCATCTCTGGCCAGGGAAGGGTCTTCCCTCCATCAGATGAGGATAGGATTCGGGTGCAGAACTCAGCTCCCCAGCTTGTCCCAGCCCTGTTCCCCCCCTTCCCTTCCAGCTGATGTCCTCCCTCCACCTGCTAATGCTACTGTCACTTCTCCACAAGTCAACCACCATCTCTAAAATCTTTGGAGATAGTTTAGGGATCAAAGGTCATTGGGTCTACATGCCTTCTGCATCACACTGAGCCCAGGGTCGGCAGCTCCGTCCGGATACCTGGCAGCGGTGCTCACTCCAGGGACTGACTATGTGTAGCTTTCAGCTCCTTGACTTGTGTCTCTCCCACCTCTCATGCAGAATCAGATGGAGATATCATGGAGGAAGGCCAACTTCCGAGACAGTGTCATTGCGAAACATCCCATCAAGGTATTGCTAATGCCCATCACTACTTTGAACTATTTTCCCAGGTTTTACTTCACTTTGGGTATTTTACAGCTTAGACATCCATATAGGTCTTACTGTGAAACACAGCACTCCCCCCCTTCTCAGTTCCCAATACCTTAGAGTCAAACATCTGTTTTGCTTTTTTTTAATTGGGTGGAGGTTTATGCATGGACCACATAGCACATGTAGAAGTCAGAGGACAACCTGAGGCAGTCGGCTCTCCCCAGGATCACACTCAAATCATCAGGCTTGGCCAAGCGTATCTCCACCTGTGCAGCCCTCACACCTGTGCTGTGTGAAGTGGTTCTTCTGGGTCCATCTCACTCATTTTGGAGACAAGGCCTCACTCTACCAAAGTTAGTTTGGGGTTTGAATTTGGGGTAGTCGTCATGCTGCCATCTTCCCAGTGCTAAGATTATAGGTGTATTACCATGGTAGCAGAGGTTACAGCTAGAATGTCTGTATGCCAAGAAAGTCCTCTACTGACTGAGCTACATCCCCAGGCCTGCAGTCCTATTCATAAGTGACTCTTTCCATTGTAGATTTTTGTCATCGTCACCACCCTGCCCACCCATGCCTGCCCTAACCCAGCTCTACAGAGTGCTGTGGTATAGTAGAGCGCCTTTCCCCTCTCATAGAACTTGAGTTGTCTGGTGCTTGCTGCTTACCTGGATCATTACAAGCTTATTTATCTGGAACCCATTCTCAAAAATTTCCCTGGATATTCAAATTAAAGCACAGTCAAGTCCTGCTGCTTCCCCATCTCACCTCTTCAAGGCTGGCTCCAAACTAGCCGAGCCAAGGTGTGCCAGCTTTCCAGCTGCACCCTGTGGTCGCCCTCACCACCACCTTGGGAGAGCCCCTCACTTTCTCCTTTTGGATATTAACATATTCCTTTTCCATACCATTTTTACTTTGCTTTTTTTGTTTTCGTTTTGTTTTTGGTACTTTTTCTGTTTGCAAACCTTCTAATAAGTAAAAAAAACGTGCTTTAAAAGGAATTTATTGAGCCAGGTTTGGTAGCATATGCCTGTAATCCCCACACTGGGGAAATGGAGACAGGAGAATGGCTAAAAGATCAATGCTGGTGTAGATGATCTACATGGGAAGCATGGATTTAAAGAAAGTGTGAGTGAGGTTATTTCACAGCTTGTATATTTGGAAATGTTTTTACTCTACTGTCCTTAATTGCTAGGGTTAGTTTGGCTGGGTATTGAATTTAGGTTGGAAATTCACTTCCTGCAAAATGGAAGAGATGTTTTCTGTTATCTTCCAGATTCTAATGTTTCTGAGACTTTTTTTCTAGGCTCCCTCCCCCAACCCTTTAAGATATTCTCAACACCCTGAAATTTCGTGGTATTATGCCTTGGTGATAATGTGTCTCTGGTTTTCACGTACTTTATTCTCTCTCTCTCTCTCTCTCTCTCTCTCTCTCTCTCTCTCTCTCTCTCTCTCTCTCTCTCTCTCTCTCTCTCTCGTCCTTTTTGGGGTTTTGTTCTTTCTGGGGAGATTTCCTCAATGTTGTCTTCCAAGATTTCCATGGAGATTGTAATTTCTGGTGTCCTAATTTTAATTTCTAAAATCTCCCCCCACAATGTTCTTTGTAAAAGCATCCTGTAATTGATTCATGGGTATAATTTATTCTCCTGTGTCTGAAGGTATTAATTATAGATCAGGGGAAGTTTATGTGGCATCTTTTCCTGTTTGGTTGACTTGCTTCTGGTCTCATGCCTGGTCGCTTCTCTGTATGCTGATCCCCAGTTGCTGCTCAGACTGAGACCCCAGGCAAGGTTTGCTCTCTGTGGGTTTCTCTGAATTTAAGTGGTTGGGGAGCCCCAGATGTGATCTTTGAGTACTTTGAGGCTGTGCTTTTTCAGAGGGAAAGCCTTCAGATGCTCTGTAGTGTCATGTCTAGTGGAGACAAAAATCTCCTCAGATACATGTCTGGTCTGGGCTTTCTATCCTACTGCTTTACTCAGTCTTTTGTCTACACAGTGAGCTTAAGAGTTTTTGTTGTTGAAGAGGCAGTGGGACAGGGTCTCACTAAGTAGCACTGGTGGGGGGCCTTGAAACTCACAGATCTGCCTGCCTCTGCTTCCCTGATTTCTGGGTATGGGCCACCCTTATGTAGGTGTGTGTGTGTGTGTGTGTGTGTGTGTGTGTGTGTGTGTGTGTGTGTGTCTATACTGGGGTGGAAACTGGAGCCTTGCACATACTACACAAGTACTCTACTACTGAACTATGATCTCAGCCCACTTTTATTTATTTATTTTAGATACATTTCCTGTTGAGTTACCCAGGGTGACCTTGAACTTACTGTTATGGTGGAAGCTTCACCCCAGCCCCTGGAATGTTTTAGTGAATGTTCCACCCAAGCCCCCTACTCTGTCTCCCTCCAAATCCTGCTGCATCTCAGAAAGCCCCCTAAATGGTGACCCCCCCAGATGCTCAAGACCACTTCCACAGAGTATTTAAACTGCCCCCCCCCAAAGAAAGATGTGTGGTTTTCTGGCCTTTCTTTCCCATCTCCTCTCTGAGGGGCTGGAAGGCCATCTGGAGTGTCGTATCCATTAATCGTGGGCTTTTCCTAATTTGGTTTGATTTGGTCTGATTTGGATTACTGCATCGGCAGAGGGACTTATCAGGGTGCAGAAAATTCTCCCTTACTTTGAGTCTAGGAAGGCCTTGGACTTAGAATTCTCCTGCCTCAGCCTCCTGGGTACAACAGGCCTGCATTACAAGCCCAGCAGTCTGAGTCTTTATAGTTTTTCTAGAGAGACTTAACACTTGACGGCTTCTACTGAATTCTCCTGAGCTGCTTCTTCACACACTGTCCTTCATCTTTTCTATCTCTGTCAGTTTCCCAGTTTTTTTTCTGCAGTCTGAGATTATTTTATTTGCATATTCAGCATCTCAGATACAAATGGACTTTGTTTTTCTCCTGTTGTGAATTGAAATGTCTACGGTTTCTTTTCTTTAAAGATTATTATTTTTTAATTATGTATGTGTCTATATGGCTGGAGGTAGAGTTGTTTGTGAGTCACCTGATGTGGGTGCTGGCCATCAAATTCAAGTCCCTTGGAAAAGCCACATGTGCTCTTAACTGCTGAACCTCCCTCCAGCCCCTATATTGTATTGGTTGCATATCTTCTTCATAGTGAGTTTTAAGTGCTTTATGAATTTCTGGAGTACATCAGCTCAGACATCAGTCTCCCCACTCCAACTCCAGGGGTTACACTAAGCCAATAAAGAGAAAGATGATTCATACAGTATCATGAAATACAGGGGTGCTCCCATCCTTGGTGTCTTCAAGACCTACCATCTGGGGCCTGGTCATTGTGTCCTGCAGGTCTCTGAACCCCCAGATCTGCCACAAATGTGATGCTCTAGATGCTTCTGTGTCCACAATGAGCTGAGACCG